ATAACATTAATTTATACGGTATTTTGCAATGATAATAAATATACAAATTAAAAACATCATCGATTTTGATATTTTTGACAATTGATATTTGCTTCACCTACATGTAAAACTAAAATTTATTAGATTTCCCTTTTTATTACATATACCTATTTATATTTATTTGACAAAAATTACGTTACTTTCTTTACTTTACACGCGGAGTCGTCTATAGACTGCTCGATATTCTTTATAAAGAAAAGAATGTTCTAGAGAATGCTTATTATCTTATGCCAATCAAGTTTATTGAATGATCATTCTAGTACTAGTAGAAAAAATAATATTTGCACTGGCAAGACGACTGCGTCGCACGAGATGTTTGTAATTAATTTATCCACTATATACTATTCCATTTATCTCCATTATCCTTCAACAAATTACGGGCGTCCATACAATGAAACGTGTGTTTTTAAGCCCCTTTGGTGAGTAATTTTCCTATCTCATGTAACGGATGTTTTTTGAGAGGTAGTTTTTGCTTCGTTAATATAATAAAGCTATTCTGTCTATTTTGTACTGTCTGAACTTTTCTAGAAGGTTATCAAACTTACTATTGACATGAAAATTGTAACCATAATGTTTACTTTCGCGCTTTCTTATGAAACGTTGAAATTTACATAAAATTTGATACATACAAGCAGTTTCTGTTGAGAAGAAACCGGAAAGAAACTCAAAATTGCTCTTATTTTAAAAAGGTCAGTTTACAATTTTATGGTACAGGTATAATAGTTTTATTTTAGCCTATGTGACTTTCAACAGTAATAACTCCCCACATTGTCATCGTCAAGATATTCTGCAATGAAATTAGCCATAAGATTACTTTTAATTTTTAGTTTAAATTCGTCAGGTGGCAGACTTAATATCGAATGTGGGATTATATTATACGCGCTCACACTTTGCCCCATGAACAACCTATTTACTTTATGTAGACGAAACGATGGCGGAATTAGTTTGTCCTTATTTTATTAGCGTTTAGTTTATCTCCGGATCTCTTTCTTTAGATAATTATTGTGATTATGTGTAACATACAAAATATTACAATTAATATATTGAGACGCAACAGTGAGTATATTAATCTCTTTAAAAAGATCTCTGAGCGTATTAAGGGATCCGATGTTATCAATTGCTCGAACAGCTCTTTTTTGAAAAATAAATATAGAATTTATATCAGATGCACTACCCTACAACTACACTAGTCTAGCAGTGTCGATGTTTGAAAGATGCTCAACCTACCTAATTAAAAAAACAGCGGTGCTTAACCTATTCGTAAGAGATGACAGAAGGGGACTCCACTGGAGCTTTGAATCTACTGTAATTCCCAAGAATACAGCAGCGGACTCCACAGGATTAAGGGTTAAGCTTTTTAATTTAAAATAGATATATAAAATATTCTAATATATTAAGAAGTGTATCCAAGTGTCGAAAAAGAATTCCAACATAAAATTTATAAATACAAGTCAAAATAAATGTAAAGCAACATCGTCGGTTATTAATAAGGAAACGGGAAATAAAAAGCTTAACACCAGTTTATTAACAGAAATAAAAATAAACAATGAATATATAACAAATCCAACGGATATAGCTACCGCTTTTAATAATTATTTTATTGAACTGACAAATACCGTTGCATTCAATAGTATTCGACCTATCACAAACATTAGTAAATCGGTGATGGTGATCAACTCAATTTTTTTGAAGCCCATAACAGAGGATGAGTTTAGAAGTGAAATTATGTCTTTAAACAACACTAACTCTGAAGGATATGATGAAATAAGTACTAGGATCATTAAGGTCAGTGTCAATGAACTGTCTTAAAAAATCAAACTAATCTTAAAAAATCAAATTATATCCAATTTAACAAATCTAAACATGCAAAGTACAATTTAAAGTTGAATATCACTAAAATTAAAGAAGTGACACAAACCAAATAAATTGGACAAAACACGTAGACGGCTTATGCAGTAGGATAAACCAATTTGTTTATGCCTTAAATCGAATTAAAATCTTAACTAATAAAAAGACAGCAATCTCGTCCTATCATGCCTATATAGAGTCAATACTACGGTACGGAATCATACTATGGGGTAACAGTACGAACATAAATAGAGTGTTTATAGCACAGAAGAAATTTATCAGAAACCTATGTGGTGAGCGCCCTGACAAGTCCTATAGACAGTTATTCCAGGACCTTGATATATTAACGCTGCCCTCGCTAAACATTTATGAAATATGTATCTTTGTAAGGAAACATAAAGAATTGTTTACAACAGCAAACGAAGTCAATAACAGGCCAAAAAGGAACCAACATAGACTAGTGCTAAAAGACATCCCTAGATCTGCAAAGTATAGTCATAATTGTTTGATGATGTGTGTACGAAATTTTAATAAAATACCCAATTGCATGAAAATGCTAGATGACAGACAATTTAAAAATAAGTGTTTAATATGGTTAAAAGTCAATAATTTTTACGACATCAAAGAATTTTTTAATAAGTTTTAATACCTGACATTATTTAATTAATTGTAATTTTATTTTTCTACTTTTTATTATAAATTGTGAAATTTAATTTAGAATTGATCGCAGCTGTATTTTGTATAAATAGTGGTATTGATATCAACAATAATATTTTGCATGCTATATAAAAATTAGCATAACATGTGGTACAATATTATGATTATTAACACCTTGTGAAACCATGTTATAAGCAAATAAATAAAAAAAATTTAAGCTAAAAATTTGCCTGCTTACGCTGGGAAGGTTAAAAGAAGGCATTTAGTTTTTTTGCAATTGAATACCATATTATTAATAGTAAAACTGCTGGTATGATATGCGAAAGTCGTCAAAATTTGATTCATTCCGGTCAAACTTATAAATGAGCGATGTACCGTCAGTAAGCAGTACAACATCACACAAGTCATTGGCATAAAATGGAAGAACATTTGTATATACTACTCTACTTGGATGCTGCGGAGGAACTGCTGAATAAATTGGAACGTTTACAAAATTTGTGTATAGTCTTCATTTTTGGGCTGCGTAAATACGATCATATTTCTAGCTTCCGATCTCAGTTGAAATGGTTACCCATTCGTCGCCGTCAAGATTTGCATGTAGTATCCACACTTTACTCAATTCTCAAATCCTCTCAATCCTGCGGCTCCTTTGTACCTCTGTGAGCGTTTTGAGTACATGGTACCGCGTGGTCAACCCTGTCGTGAGATCAAATCCCTTCTTTTAAAATTACCCTCGCACTCTTTACCTTTGAGGAACACCCATTTTCATAGGGGACCCTGCGGAATTTACATCATTTATAGATACTTTTTGAATTCTATTAATAAGGTAAGAGGCAATGAGGTTGAGGGCGATATCAAGAATGCCATAATAATCTAGCTTGTGAAGGAGGGTTTTATGGTCTACGCAATCGAAAGCTTTTGAAAGGTCGCAAAAGACGCCTATTGCATCTTGCTAGGTTTCCCAGGTGTTATAGATATGTTTGGCAAGTGCGACGCCCACATCTGTGTGGATCTGCCTTTAGTGAATCCATATTGCTCATCGTGAAAAATTTTGTTCATATTTACTAGGAGTTTATTTAAAAATTTTACTCAGAGATTGCAATATGGAAATAGGTCTGTAGTTTCCTGGATGATTATATCCATACTTTTAAAGACGGGGAGTTATCTTACTTAATTTCATAAGATCTGAAATTGTGTCAATTGATTTGTTAAAAATATGTGTCAAATGTGGTACTGACAGGGCACTATTGTGGTCATTAATTTTATGGACATGCCCCACAAAATTCCTGTATTTTTAAGATTGATGAAATTCAAAACTTTTATAATATCAAATCTATGTGATTAAATTTAAAGTTGTGTCGACATGTAACATTATTTCTTAATACATTAAAAGTATCTATGGAAGAGGATTTTAACGTGCATGTGATATTAAGTCAATTTTTGAAAAATAACTTTCGAAACTACTTGCAATTTCGTTATCTGAAGTTATGGGAGTATTACCTACTCGTATCACTAGCTTTACAGGTTCCCTGTATATCTTGCGTCTTCCTGATATACGGGTAATGATATCCCACGTGGCTTTTATTTTATTGCTTGAATTTTAAATTCTATTTCTTATATAAATAGGTTTTGCCTGTATATAGACTATTTAAATATTTTTGAAAACGTTTGTATCCGTGTATGGAAGTTAGTGGGTCGTGATTACACTGCCTCATCTCTATATATAAAAATGAATCGCTGAATGTGTTGCTAAGCGCAAATCTCGAGAACAGCTGAATCGATTTCGCTAATTCTTTTTTTTATAATATTCCTTGAAGTACGAGGATGATAAAAAAATTTTAAAAATTGCGTGAAAAAGTCTAAAAACAACACTTTTCTATATTCCCATACAAAAATTTCGCATTGAGAACAAATATATTCGTATTAAGTAATATAAAAAAAAATTTTTTTTTGCTTGAACCAGGAACGTTTGCAGGCTCACGCAGAACAACTCACCAATTTCATCACAAACGCATATACAGCGTGTCGTTACCATCGCGACAATAAATGAACACACGTCTAACGCTACTTGCCAATAATCATAAAAAATATTAATGTTAAACAAAATCCATAATTTAAAAAAAAATATTTTTCAAACAAACTAATTAAGTAAAAAAGAATTAATTCAACCTATTCATATGCTTTGTGACCTTAAGAAATGAACTTTACGTCACCCTTTTATAGGTAAGGGTGTTCTAAAATTCTTTGTTTTGGAAAATTTAATAACTGTAAATATTGATGTTTAAAGAATTTAAATGTTTAATACAACTTTAAAAAGTTATCCCCTATATGTGTGTTCATTTATTGTCGCGATGGTAACGACACGCTGTATAATCACTTTGGAACGCATATGGGAAAAACATATAAATATTCATTTTTATGTATGATTGGTGTAGTGGATAGTGTGAACCTGTTTTATGCACCGGAGGGTGTGAGTTCGATCCTCGCTACTTTAAAAATATTGTGTGATTAACATAACATTTTTTATTGTCTGGGCCTTTATATATGTTTTATTATGTATTTATTTACAAAATAAATGTAAAAGTTGTAAAATCCAAAAAAGTGTAAATTTTAAGTATGTAAATCGTTTAAGATTTACCCAAAGTATAAGCTTTGCTTAGTTTGGAACTAAATAACGTTACACAGTCTCCGCCACGCAATGGTCGGGAGTATTGAAAACTTAAGGAGTTCCCACTGAAAGTTATCTTAGCGTTTTAAGAACGACAAAGATTACTACAAAAGTGGGTGTACATCAGTGATATGGCACGTTTCTTGACAATCGACGCGAGGCTGCGTAGCCCTTATCATGTGAATCGTGACGTCACAAATGGTCGCGATATATAGGCGGGTGATATCGGCGCGCGCGCACATTGCAAGTTACACGCGAGTGACCCGCGCATTGGCAGTCTCGCATTTCGCGCTGAGGGCAGCCTGTCGTAGACGCAACGTATCCTTGCGGAGTACTGCGGCTTCTCGTCTATTCTAAATTTTTTTTATCGGATGTCGACACTGTGAACATTTTAGTGATTGTTTGAGACACTATAGCGGTGAGTTTGTAACTAAAATATGACGTTATTTGTTTAAGTTACAATCGTTAGAGTTGTGGCACATTTCATGTGAATTTGTCTTTAATGGAGCACTTTTTTTTTTTTTTTTGGATATAAGTTTTATCATTCAATCTATATAAATAAAATTATGGAGGTCTAAGCGTTGTGCGCGTATCACGGAAATTGTGGTGGAAAGAATTCATTTAACTGTTCTAAGTTTCGGTCCATATCTTTATATAAAAAAATGTAATATCTATATTTAATGTAGTTATTAAATTTGAAAGAACAAAGTTTTTATTAGCACTTCGTGTTCAGCTATGTATTTGTTCTTGCCGCAGTGGGATGGACAAGTTCTGATCTTTTTGAAGTTCTTTTCCTCTGCACATAAAACATCAGGGTATTCAGCTATATAAAAAAAGCTTAATATTAGGGAGACTAATAACACATTTTTAATTACACTTTTTATATTAATATCTTTATGTTATTCAAATATTATCATATACATTGAAATAAAACATATTACTATGAATTATTACGAATTTTTGCATTCCGGAAGATATACTATATCTATTACTTTGTACAGACTTAGTACAAGACACTTTATTTCAAAAACTAAATTTACGTTTAACAAAGAAGCCATTTTATCAGTTTTGCAATCCGAAAAATTATGGACTAACGTCTAAGCCGTTACTAGTAACGATTTTACCCAGCGCAATTTGATAGTCATTTAGTACAATAAGTTACGAGAAAACTCGGTCTAATGCGTCGGTTGTATTCAAGTCGGCAAGCTTTTACTTTAACCTCGATGCTCCAAAAGAAAATTGCATAGAAACCTGCAAACGTAGAGACAGCATATCGAATGCAAAATTGCCCAAGTTTCTAAGCAAAATTACCTTCTTTTGCTTTTTCGAAAAAGGGCCACGTAAAGCCCTTTATCATTATGTAAATGTGTTTAAGTATTTTTAAAATTAGTATTAATTATTAGTTAAATCAAATAATTCTCTAAAAGAAATAATTCTCAGAACACGAAATTTTACATGGGTACTAGGCCGAATATTTCTTCATCGTCGCAATAATATTGTCATTAAGGTAAAAATTATTTCACAAAAAAACTATCTCACTAATGGCTTCCAGTAAAGCAAAATTTAATGATAAAGTAATTAAGGAATCAAACATTAGTTTCACATTATTGGTTACATTTTATTAAATGCATAGACGACCCAATTGGCGTAGTGGATAATGACACCCTGTCTCTTGCGCCAGAGAACCCATACTGGGTTCGATCCCCACTACTGGGAAAATATTGTGTGATGAACATAGTATTTTTCTAGTGTTATCATTAATATATGTTATGTATGTTTATCACTTACCTAGTAACCATAGTACAAACTTTGCTTAGTTTGGGACTAGATAACGTTGTGTAACTATGTCCCCGAAATATTTATTTATTTATTTATTGTGTTATACGTACTCAAAGTTTTTTTATATATACTTATTATACGTAGCGTAAGTTGTGCTGTTTAAAAAGATGAGCCTTAATGTTCTATTTCCATCCAATTGACTGATGATAACCTACGACTGAGAATGTGACTGTCTTATCAAATTAATCGTTTCTTGTGAAGGTCACACCAATGTCCTTCAAAAGTTTTCTACAAAATGCGTTCTCAGTTTCTATAGTAGATAGCGCCTTCTAGTTGTTTTAGGCAACGATTCACAAATGGCACAGACGACCTCCGAGCTGATCTATTGGCCTTGACCCGGTGTCCGGCGAAGTTCACAATTTTCGTTTGTCATCGATCAATTGAGTAAAATCCTTAACATGGAGCTGTAATTTTTTCTGCATACGTACCTTTGTAGTTTCATGGACTAATACGAAACTTGGAAACAATCGTACACGCTATAATTATCACTTCTGTCTACGTGTTTTATGTGACCTGCCAGCAGAAAGATAAAATAGTGAAATCTCTCCATTTTTCATGGGTTATATTGTTTTCGCAATCCAAGAAGGCTTTAATGCTCTGATACTTTTACAAAAGTCATTGACCAAGTTGCATATTTAAAAATAATAATATACATATAATTCTCAAGAGTTATTAAGCACAAGGTTTTTATAGATTATTTATTTCTCCTTTCGATGTATTGATGTATGGTTTGTGAGACGTCGACGTTGGCACTACCAATGTTAAGTCGCTAGCTGCGTAGTTTACACTATCTTAAGTAATGTATTTGATGTTACAACTATTTCTTTGCTATAAATGGACATGTGGAATGTGAAAATATAACCATGAACGACCGTTTAAAGTACTTGGGGAAGGTTCGTACGCGTCTATTATGATTACAATAAACATTTTTGTTTAAATAAACTCATAAATATGCAAATAAATGTGTAACCATTTTAAATTTTATTTGATAATTTGTTTTTAAATTCTGATAATTATTCCCATTGTTTTATTTTGCCGATGCTTTATAGTAAGTATAAACTTAAGTATAAACTTAAAATAAAATATATGTCCGTATAAAATAAGCACATGTTCGTAAACGTATACATACAAATAAGCTTTTAACTAAAATAACGCCTTTATTAGTAGAAATAGTTTAAAAGGAAACAAGTTTAAAGGCACTTTCAATGATACATGTAGCCTGAGGAACAAGGGTAAGTCAACCTGACTTTTAAGTTTGATCTCGTTGAAATCGTTGAAACCAACACAATACAGATAATTTTTTTAAATAAAATATTTGGTTACAAATTAAATTAATGTACATATACAACTGATCTGTATCTGCTTTTGTCTAGACGCTTTTGGCTAGTACTCATTTGGAGACACTTTAAAATAAAAAAAATGGCATATTAAATATTCTCAATGTTTTTTCGTACACAAAAAATATAAAACAATGAAAATATTGTAGCAATGGAAAAATACGCACAGTTGCCTGATTAGATTATTTCCCAAGCAAATTAGAATTAACATCATCACAATTGTTTCAATTTACATAGATTTGTGTTCTGAGATCGCATTGTAATGATTGCTAAGGCAGATTTGTCTAGTCATCTTAGGAATTATTTATTGATGGTGAGCGTACAGGAATTCCTGAATTGTTTGTTTACAGACTATTGGCCATTGTGTTATTATTTTCAAGCGAAACTCATATTTATGAAGTATTTGTTCCAAGTCGTATGGCAATTATAATAACGAGTTTAATTTGAAGTCTTTATCAAATACGTAGGATTCGTAATAAAATTCGTAATTTTAAAGTATCATTGTACGCAACGCTTGGTAACGTTTTTGTTATTTTGCTTTTCGCAACACGTTCTACATCGCATATCTGAGGTGACCACCGTTTATTCGACTAATGGATTGCTTTAAACGGAGTAACATTCTCCATTCTAATAATGTTAATGTATTTTACTAATTTTAATTAAGAGATAACGGAAAATTAAAAAAAAATACATAAAATTGGTTGAAAAACACATTACGGTCTATTATTTCATCAATAATCTTTTTTCGTGTAAAAACAAAACGATAAATAAAACGAGCGGTGTTTTCTTTGAATCGCGATCACCCAACGGAAAGCGGTGCGCGTGGTTTTGGCCCGCGTGCCGCTGCCAACTTCGGTGGCATTGAACTTCCGCCAAAGCCTTTCCGATTTTGAACGGAATGCGCGCGGGGCATGCGTCGTGGCGGCCTGTCGCAACACCCGACCTATCGCGGCTCGTTACCGACCGCCCATTAAAATGTTGCAATTGAAACTTCTCGGCATCGCCAAGGAGACGTCGGCTCTGATGAATCACGCCATTAGACACTTTCCGCGTTTATTAGCATATAATAATCCGTGGTGTTTATTCGTAATTAACGGCTAATGGTGGAATTGCGAGCGCCATCAGAGCGGAGTGCGCGCAGCACCTCCGACGCGTTCACATCATAAATGGAGGTCGTGTATCTCGCGTTAACTTAATTATGGATACCATAAAGGTAATATGTGAATATGTTAGACGTATGATTGTATGGCGCCTATATACATTCAGTCAACCAGTTCTTACAAATTTAAATGTTGAAGGGTCACAAATAGGGCCACACAACAGTCCTTTCTGTTGCACGAATGCAGGTCCGTCCGGATAAGTAGGTACCACTACCGCAAGGAAGACTGGCGTGAAGTAGAAGTGTTATACTTCTGCGTTTCATCTGGTTAGTGCGGTAGCCTGGGCTCACTTAATTAAAAGGGGGTAACGCATATGGAACCCTACGGATATTTCAAATATCAATGGGCGGCAGTTATGGCATAACATAAGTTGACCCGCCAGCTGTTTATGTTTATATAATATTCAATGTTACGGGCGAAGCAAAATAGATGGATAACGGGTTCGTGGTATAATTAATATATTACAAGATTGTTTACCTCTTACGCTCTTTGTCAGTTGCATTATATGGCATTTGCTAAACCTGATCGAACAATGATCTAACGATTTCGAGATTTACATTTGCTTCGTATTGTCGCTTTTTGATTTACCTACTAACAACCTTAAAACCTCTCGCAATCGACCGTTTGATGGGGATTTACCGTTGGGCAGCTCTACCCTATCGTATGCCTCATATATATAATCTGTGAGCTTTATGTGTATGTTCTATGTTTATGACGGTGGATTTAATCAACCGAAATTCTCAAGTTGAATTCGAAACGCTTTATAATATATATAAGCGTCTGGCGTTATTGTTCGTAATAAGATGATACGACCAAGGAAACAATCTCGCAAGGTTAAATAACGAGTTGAAACATAAATAAAACGAAACTGATGCAAAATAGGAAGTGCCACAAGTTTTAGTTTTTGTCTGTTTTTAAACAAGGAAGCAAGAAGCTGGCTTTAATTGCAGTCTTCGCTTCATTTCATATCTTGTTCCAGATGATATAGGTATATTTCATTTTGTTTATTCGTTCTGTGACATTATTTGTACACAATAATTTCTTGAAATATTATACGCAGATTATGCTATTATTGACCTATA